AAATCAGAAATCTGAATGTGAAATCTATCCAGGTAAACATAATATACAGTATGTGTAACTGTAATAACAAAGAGACATGTTTCCCAATGAACCTTCTGTCTTAAACCCACCATGAAAGGGTTTCATTTCACAGGCATAAAATGAAATAAAAGCAAGTATATCTTTTTACAGAAGTTACTGACGTCACTTAGTTTGTTGTGCTGCCATTTTTTCCTCTCCTCGCACCACTTAATGAGTTTACAACAAAGTCGTTAAGCTTTTATTTTCCACTGCATTTGCTGCTTTAAGAAGCAGTAAGTCTGTCACAGGTTACTCTGTGTCATCATTACATAACTGAGTATTGGTTCTTTTCAGTAATACTGTGATCAGGTGAGTTGGGGCCCATTTTGACAAATGGGTTTATTCATTTTGAGGCTTTAGCTTATTATAAACCAAAAATCTGAAGGTTAATATCAAGTCAAGGGAGGAACTAATTTTAATGACTCAGTGGTATTTAAAGAGGTGCTGATATTGACTATTTAAGGATGTTAACATTTTCTATGTTTATATAATCCTGATTTTCCTGTTTTTATATCATATTTGATGTGGACAGTAACCTGTTTCTGCATGTGTTCTATTTAAACCAATCCCACACATTATAAAATATGATTTATCCCAATTAGGTGAGAAAATTCCCTGATGATTATCAATTTTATCTCAGTGAGCGACACTAACACTTATAGCTGACATTGTTTTTCATGTATGATATTGTGACAGATGATTTCAACTATGAGTCGAGAATTTAATTAGTTTAATTCATGAAAAAAACATAAGTAAGTGCAGCTATTTTTTTGAATGTTCTTCTGGGGCACCCAGAGATGTTACAGACTAATTCAACATCCTGTCTCCCATTGAACTAATCATGAAATTAGTGAGACTTGATTGACAGTTTTTCTCACATTTAGTGTCATAATATTTCAGTGTGAGACTAGAAAGTCATTAGAAGGCGCCCTGCAGCTCCTATCCTGAGACAGATGACTGCATTAATAAAGAAAAGTGGATGTAGTTCATTATGCAGAATCCTAATGAAACCTTGTATAATGAAAAATGTTGTTAAGTGTGTGAAGTCAGGTTTATGTAATTACAGCTCTTAGAGGATTTTGTTTAGCAGGATAAGCCCATCTGCTTTCCCAGTGCACAAAATAATGAATTTGGAAAGAAGATGAAAGGCAGTGAACCAGTGATGGACTCACATTTGTGTGTTTCTGTGTACAAAGTATAAAGCGCCACGTACATCATATTGTGTGTTGTTTCGTTTTTTGATGTTTGCTTCTTCTTCTTTTTTTTTTTTTTTCCTTTTTCATGCAAGAGTTGCTTGAATTTTAAACTCTTGTCTAAGTAAGACTTCAAATCTCACTACTGAAATCTGTCAGAGCTCAAAGCTGCTTTGTTGCATTTGGTTGTAGAGCTGATACAACACAGCCAGTCTTTGGGAAATGTTTTCTTGTCTGCCAGGTTTAGTTTGAATTGCTGCCAACTTTGATGAAAATATGATGTACACTAATAGCAAAATGTACTTTATGTGCAACAAATAAAACTATATATACTCTGACAATAAATAGGTGTCATGCTATAGTCATACAAATCTATAGTTATCACATGAGCTAGTGGACAAAGATCACACTTCCAGGACTTTTAGCTAATACTGGTAAATTGAAGGACATTATTTACAGGAATAAGGGCTGCTGCCTGTTGAAGTAGCTGTTTCTCTGTCTTATTTCTGTCAGGATTTGGGAACATCTCTCCTCACACAGAAGGCGGGCGGATCTTCTGTATAATCTACGCTCTGCTGGGGATTCCCCTCTTTGGATTCTTACTGGCTGGTGTTGGGGACCAGCTGGGGACCATTTTTGGGAAGGCCATCGCCAAAGTGGAGAAGATGATTGTGGTGAGCTTGTTTTTGTGTGTGTGTGTCATTTGTAGCCACTTTCCTGTTTACACTAACACAAGCAACACTTAAGGACTTGATAACCTGGGTAGTGCACAGGCAGCTGTAAAACTATATTACCAGAATTCTTCCTAAAAAGCACTGCAGTACTTAAGTGCCAAGGTTACAGCTGCAATGTAAACAGCTCTAAACACTACAGGAGAACATTAACAATCAAAGGTATGGGGCTTATTTTTTTCTCAAACTGTGTGGAAAGGAAATTCAGTTTTTTGTGATGTTGCCATGTCAACAGATTCCTGGAAAGCAAAATAATATGCAGACATTTTGTTTCAGCATAGAAAACCTCAGATCAGTAAATTACAGTTATTTTAGAGTCTACAGTGTTTTTCTGCCTTTTCTGAGTTTCCTGAACTTGTATTTATTGGTTGGGTCAAAGTGTTTATTTGTCATATGCACAGTTAGGAAATGTGTTTCCCTGTATGATGAAATTCTTACTTTGCCATCCACATGAATGCCACAAAATACTAATGAAATACAAAGTAGATTAATAAGTAACACAAAATCTAAGGCACGTTAAGCAGCAAATGCAGAGATGTAAAGAGAATGTATACTGCATAGGAGCAGCATGTGCAGCAGTCAACAGTCAATGTACAATTATGCATGTGCAGACTGAGAATGTAAACAGTACAGGTTGACAGTACACGATGTATTTCTTGGTAATATACTCCTGTAAGCTGTTTATGAGTCTGAAGGCAGAGGGAAGGAAAGAGTTTTTCAGTGGAATAAACTAGCAGCACACACAGATCGACACACCACTCCAAAATAATGCCACACTGCAAGTTACACACTGACTCTGATAATATATTCAAGCACAGGCATTATACAATGCAAACAGAAACACATCACAGTTCTGCAAAAGCAGCTAGAAGGCACCATTATTCATGTTGGACATAGAGAATATAAATGCTTTATGCTGCACAGTTTGGTTGCAATTAGTCATTAAGTGTCTGCTGAAAAACCCAAACAGCTGCTCAGTGCACAAGTCAGTAAGGACGACATCTGACAAGAGCAGGGATAGTCAGGGCAGGTTCATACCAAAAAAAACAATTAAATGCACCAAAATGAGCATAATTTATTTTAGCACTGAAAAACTGGTATTTGCTTTTCTTCATTGGCTCTTTACCTGCAACACCTCTGCTACTACATACTGTACACTGTTACTACATCATTTATCAGATGGACTATGCACATACTGTAATTAATGACTGTCTGGAAGGTAAATCATAGGGCACAAAATCAATAACCTTTTCCAAGGTTCACAAAAATAAAACGCATAAGCATAAACAGACAGAAAAGTGGACAGGCATGCTAAAATTGGAAACATTAAAAACTAAGTAAACCCTGAAAATGACATTTTAAAAGAAAACTTAAAAGAAATAATAAGTTGGAGACTTAGGATAAGATCATAGGAAAACGCAATAAAAATCAGATGTGTTTTTCTATCAAAGTTATAAGTAGATCTTCATTCTAAGAGGGAGGGTTGTAGTTTCAGGCATCTAAGAGATAAATACATTGACGTTTTCATGAAATGAAGAGCAGCTGAAAAGTCAATTAATGCCATGGCCCAGTGTGAGACTGGTGGCAACGCCAGGTGTAACAACAACTGTCCCTCCCAATTTACAGAGCTTATGGGTTGCAAGTATGTCATTTGTTTTGGTAAATGAAATATGTCGAAATGAGGAAAAGAAAATTACCTATTTAATTCAGTGACACTTGCTTCAGGTCTTTATGGTGCTGGGCCAAAGGAGGAGTTTGGGATCAAACGTTACACTGAGAAGAGAAACTGTGATCCAAACAGGAGTATACAGTCTCTGATATGTTTCATATTGTATGTTTTATAATATGATATGCTTTAAGGGCTGAAAGCAATCTTGGATTTCAATATAAGAGCTTCAGGTTTTACTATAAAACACTATCAAGAGCAAACAAAGTCTCATGAGGTACATGTGTGATTTGTGCTACTGGGCTATACAACTATAAATTGACTTGACTTGACAGTGATTCAGCAAACTAATCCCCAATGAGGCCAGGTACTTGGCAGCAACAGGGTAAATTATGACTTTGATTCATTGTCGGCTGTGTGCCTTCTCTCCCTGGGAGGAGGGTGCAGGTTGGCAGCTCGAACAATGGAACTAGTTAAAGTGTAGCAGCTGCTGACATCACTGCTGTGCAGTAAAAACGCAGACTAGCTCAGCTTCATCATTCCCTTTGGAATACATTGTTTAGTCTTAGACTAATTTGGTCGTGTAAAGCCCACAGTGTGTCTTTTTAAGCTATACGCTGCTGCACTGTACTTAGCAGCAAAGACATTTGACATCACAGGCTCAGTGATCTGAAGTCTGCCTGCACTTTATGCTTCCCCTCAGAGGCACCATGCTTTGGGCTTACATAACTGGAAGTGAAAAGGGCACGAAACACAGGGAACCAGCTGAAAGCAGTCACTTCAAGTGGAAAGGAAGCAGAGAAACAGCAGCATAGAAAATGCCTTCTGTTGTCCCGTAGCTGGTATGCAAAAAGAACTGCAGGGTTCATGTCAAATTCAAATGCAATTACAGTTGATTGTTCAGGTTGTAACTGTAATGAATCCTTACTATTTCATGATATCTGCTACTACAGTATGATTGCATGTGAAGTATTTGACTAGTCATTGATATTACATGTGAGGCATGTCGAGTCATGTGTCACCTTTCCTTGGCTCAGGTGGTTGTGCCATGTCACACTGACAGTTATATCACACAAGCTCAGCAGCCTGACGTGGGAGATGTTAGAAAGCGGTAAATGTATTCCCAGAAGGAGGTCGTAGGAAGTGATTCAGCACAATGTGGGGAAAAAAAAAAGCCTGTGGGAAATCAAAGGGAAATAGGCTGCATGTTTTCAGGTGTTAATTTGCTTCAGAATCATTTTAGGAAATGTCATGTGCTGCAGCTTTCTGGACCAAACAGAAAAAATGTTCAGGCTTACTATTTGTATTTATAGCCTCAGTGTTCCTCAGTCCCTCCCCGCTCCTAGTCTTTCTTTCCGAGGATTCCCCTCTTACTCACACTAATTAAAGCCTTTATTTTCTCAAACTAGAACTCTTTTTTTCTATCAATATTTCCGCAGAAGTGGAACGTCAGCCAGACGAAGATTCGCGTCATCTCCACACTGCTCTTCATCCTGTTCGGTTGCCTCATCTTCGTGACCCTGCCAGCTGTCATCTTCAAGCACATTGAAGGCTGGAGCACGCTCGAGTCCATCTACTTTGTTGTCATCACCCTCACCACGATCGGCTTTGGAGACTTTGTTGCCGGTGAAAAAGGTCACATGGGGTTTTTTTTTAGGCAGGGGGGTCCCTTCTATTTCTAGGCTGTCTTTCATCTTATGTTTGGCAACTACTTTATGATCTGTTTATTTGTAGCTGAGTCATTCCTCAACAAATGTGCATCACATGATAGACAGCCTCCTATTGATTACATGCTGTGCTCACAGTGCTGCTGCACACAATTTCTGCTCACAAACTGTAGATTATGAATTTTTAGAATCATCATCATGATCACAGGCAAATACTGAATACAGTATATTACATATTCATTAAAAACCATCCAATTGTAGCAAAACTGGACAATTTTCACTCGTGCCTTGCATTTAAATTATTAGTTTAACGTGTTGAGAAATACGTTTATTCACTTTGCTAAGAATTAGATGAGAAGACCGTCTGTCTGTGTGGTGGGTATGAAGCTAGAGGCAGTAGCCAGTTAGTTCAACAATTAAGATTTGAAACAGGAACACACTGGTATCAAAATTCACTTCTAAGTAACAGTAAGTAACAAGCTAAACTGTATTTTCATTTCGACATGACAACATTGATCATAGAGAGTATATAATATCTGAAGAATAATTTGTAAATAAGAATATGTCAGAGAGAAAAAGCAAAAGACAGAAAGAGAGAGACTTGACAGGTGTGTGAAAGTGGTATTACCCTGAGTTTACCTGCTCAACAAGCAACAAGGGAGAGGCAGATGGGAAAAATCACAAACACTTAGCTGCTGGATTGAATTTTCCTAAGCAGGGCTAATGATTATAGATTAGATTACACCACCTATGCCAACACCAGGAGGGACCTACAGTAAATTAATTAGCTTGGACTGCTGTTAAACTGGTGCTGGTTATCTAACAGCACATTGAGCAGGTCATTTTAAGAGTTCATCCAATGACACAGACCATCGTGGGATCTATAAGGCTACATTAAAATGTACTGGAGATAATGTTTGCACATGGATAGGACTGATACTACATTATTAAGGTAAGACAGAGTCAAAACTGAGTCAAAAGCCAGCCTGTCCATTAAAATGATTAATTAAATGATACAAGTATGAAAGTTAAAGATCCATTTTACTTAACTGAATTAACAGGCTGCACCAGGCCTTACATTAAATCCATCCTGCTTGTTTTCCTCAGTATTATGCAGTTAGGTAAGCAACACATGTATGGATGATGATATAACCGACTTGTATAATCCACTTGTTTTGTCTTTGTTTTTGCAGGTGGGTCAGAGAGTCCAGGGTATCTGGACTACTACAAGCCTGTGGTGTGGTTCTGGATCCTAGTGGGCTTAGCATACTGCGCTGCTGTGCTCAGTATGATTGGAGATTGGTTCCGAGTCATCTCCAAGAAAACTAAAGAGGAGGTAAGTGGTGCTGTGTCACACTAGAAATGGTGTAGGCAGGAGACAAGAAGACTCTCTCAAGTCAAGAAGGAAAAACTTCACCTTGGAGCTTTCTCCCAGAAATGAGTCTGCCTGCATATACAATAGCTTTATATTCAGGTGTTGGAGCTCATTTTCATCTGATCAATTTGTTTTTATATTTATCAAGATCCTGCTATTCATTTAAAAAAGAAAACAACATTTTCCTCCAACACCAAATATTTCAATCTAAAAGCATGGAGTTGTTTTTCCTCTCTGGCACAGCAGAGTCCAGCCTACAACCTGGCAAGAGTTTGATTGCTACATGACTGAGCTACTTCTCTAATAACAATCTTTATCAGCCCCATAAGTCATGACATTAGTCACTGTTAGAAAATAAAAAGATAAAGACAGACTCAAAGGGGACCAATTAAGTCTCACACACTGTGGCTGGCACAGAAGTATTAGTTTTTAGGACTATAAATAAAAGTAACACCACTAAAGATGGTAAACCCACCACAGAGTTAAGTAATAACACAGAACAACCCAGAGTGGATATTAGACATACAAATCAGTATAACAGCACAGACCTTTGTATAGTCTCTCCTTAAATGGGATGAAATTGACATGTGAAGTCTGAATAAAAGAGAGCTTGAGAGAGAAGGTCAAATCCTGCTTTACTTTCACACCTTTGTACAAGTGGTGGTTTCAAAAGCTCTTAGATGATGCAACAGGCACTTCCTTTTGACAAATACTGCAGCTTTACACTGCAGTTACACTGCAGCCTGCGAATAAAGCATTATTTTCTATAGACAGACTGTTTGGTTCAAATTGTATTTTCAGCTTTAGCTGCATGCACAGCACATTCCTGTCTCTTTAATATTTAAAGAAATCCTTGCCGACACTAGTGCAGCTCAGCTTGCATTATACTGCTGCTACACACCTTTTCACCAGCCTTATTAGCAGCAAATACAATATAGTAGGTGGGGGTCGCATCCTTCTCCCCTCACAGCGACAGAATACTACCTCACAGTGTTTACCAGTTCACTCTTCAAGCCATAAATGTGAAGCGATGAATCTCCATCCTGGATGCACCCTGAGGAGTAAATACCATCTCGTACAAGAGTTGGATTAAATATTTGGTGTGTTTCCAGTGACTGCTGCTGAGCAATAAGATGCCTTGCTGCTCTGGCAGGTTCATTATTTACATGTAAAAAGGATGGAGAGAGCAACACATTCACATACACACTCACCAAAAGTAGGCGCTCTCCTGCATAAACCGACCACATCTTCATCTTTCCACATACAGTTAAAAAGGGGGGGGGCACTCCATGGCAGTGGGAATCCTTCAGCAGGCATAATTATAGTAGGAGTACAGCTGTGGAGGATCTGAGCTCAGCAGAGAATTCAATTACTGAGAGAGAAGGTTTCAGTGGGAGGCTGGGGTTTGGGGGGAGGATAAGCAAGGAGAGAAAGTGAAAAGAAGGGGGAGACAGCACGTTCTCATGTGTTTGTGCTCTAATATGTGTGTGTGTTTAATGTGAGCGCACAAACAGATGCCATAAAATTTAACTTAAGTGCTCAGAGATTTGCTTTAAACAAACACACGTTTGCCTAATGAATAAACAAGCACCCAAGAGAAGGAGGCCTAATGCAATATGAAGGTAAGATTAATGTAGCTCCTCTCCCCTGAGGTGCATCTTAGGTAACATATACACACCCACTGTGCCAAACAGATAACATATATAGCCCCAGAAACATGAGCTATTGGTTCACACACAAAGGTAGTTTCTTGTATATTGTTTGAGGCGTGAACATGTCTACACCTTGTCAACTTCTGTACAAATTCTCTCAACAGCAATAGTTGCATAAGACAAGGTGGGAATCTCAACAAAAAACTAAAATCACATGTAATTCACAAATATTTTTCTGCTTTTATGCCCATTATCCTATCCCCAAGTAGTTCCTGAACAATGCCAGCATATGGTGGTTGCTTTAGACAGGAAACAAGTGTATTTCCCAAAAGTGTAACTATTCTATTTAAAGAACTATTCCATCTGAATTGAATGTAAAGTGATAATAAACCAGTAATTTGCCTTTCTATTCATATGTTAAATCTACATATCTAATGGATGAGCATTTACTGCAAATAACAGGTGAAGGTTATAGGTTATATAACTAACTAATTAAACAAACTAACAAATAAATAAATACAACAATTGGGAACAAGTGTGTATTTGTTGTCTCTTTTGCACATAGCTGTTACGTAGCAGTTATGAGGAAGTTAAGAATGAATGTTTCTTGATGGTTAAAGGAATGTGCCAGTAGTTTGTATTCTTACAGTCATTACTTAAAAATCTGCTAGCCCTGGTATACTTTTTCATCCTGTATGCTGCCTAGAATATTACACATCTTCTGTAGCTAAGCTGTACTAACTGCAGGTGGAACTGTAATGTGCAGAGGAGCAGGTTGTATTAAGTCACCTGCAGGCATCAATCTTCAGTCTCTCTCTGCAGGTCGGGGAATTTCGGGCTCACGCGGCCGAGTGGACAGCAAATGTGTCAGCAGAGTTCAAAGAGACCCGACGGCGACTCAGCGTTGACATCTATGACAGGTTCCAGCGCGCTGCCTCCATCAAACGCAAGCTGTCATCCGAGCTGGGTATTAATGCATCTGTGAACCAGGAAATGACCCCTGGCAAGAGGACGCTGTCAGCAAACCTGTGTGAGGACAAAGAGGCGTGCCCCAACATGACTCTGTCTCTCAGTCCTGTCCCAGGGTCTCTGGCCAGGAACGGGAGCCTTTACCTGAATGGCCTCAGCCCGGACTACGCTGACCGGCGGGAGATTGCTGTCATTGAAAATCTAAAATAAGGAACAGCATGAAAGCAAGATTTAAGGAACCAAGTGAAGCACATTTGCTTGCAAACGCAACAGAAACAGTACACACTCGTGTGCTTATTGACCTATGGTACTTGTACGCATTCACTAAGTGGATTGTGCTCCAAATGTTGATTATAAATGTTGAAATAAATCCATTCATCAAAATTAGAAGGCAATAGATGTGTCTGTGCTCGCGTCCTGTTGAATTACCAGCGGCCTTCCTGAAATCTGCATCAGATAAAGAGGATCTTCACTGCTAAAACACTCCTTCATCAACAGTGAACACTGGGTCTCAATGAGGCAGCAGTCCAGTACTAACACAAAGAAATGTGGCTTTTTCTTTCATTTACATTTCCTACATTATGAATTTACATGATTTGCATTTGTTGGTCAGTCGGCCCTCACTAAAAAGTCTAATATTGACATTTCTGTTCCTTCACAACTGACATAAGCTTTCCACCCTAAGGAATAATTCACAAGTGCCTTACTGAAAACCATACTGAACATGTGAGGATGGTGGTGCATGAAAAATGGAGCAACACTTTGTCTGTCCACTCATTCTTGTTATATAGAAGCACAGTAGGAATAAAGACATTTATAGGATGCCTCCTTGAAAATTCAATATGAAGAAAGGTGAAATGGAAGGAGAAGACATGGATGTTTTAACTGTTAACTCATTTTAAGAGTCAGTAAGTGGAGAACCTGTTTGTTGAGTTAAGGGGACACTTAGAAAAATGTCACCTCTCTGTCTGCCATTGCACTGTAGGTACCAGTCCTAATGTGCTGAAATGTATACAGCAGTGCCAGGATCAAATCCCATGATCCTGTACCAAAGTAATTATCCTGCTTTTCTGATAGAGGAGTCAGAGAGAAGTCTTCAGTCTGATCAAAGGATCAGGAGTGCGTTCTGTTATTTATACAATCAATCCTGCCCTGCAGGTTTCTAGAAGTTATGTTTTCATCAAACTGATCACAGACCTTAGTGCATTGAGTTTGTCTTTTCATTCCTTATTGGAAATAAAACAACATGGATGGCTTGGTAGCAATGAAAGCTGTGTGGCTGTGAAGCAGATCTTAACCTTATTGTTTTTCATGGGGAATGTTTCTTCAGCAGATACAGATGAGCTCTCTTATGTCTTACTAATTCTGAATGTATACCATTAGACGCCTCTATTTACTAAAGCAAATAGAGGGAGCACTGCAGTTGGTGTTGATTAAAGATTTTGAAAATGAAAGGAATATTAATAAGGGTGTTTATCTTGCACTCTGATCCTTGATACTAAATATACATTTTAATTTTTACATTTTAAATGGGTCAAATTTTTTATTCAGGGTATTTCTGGACACATGGCTTTCTGTTTTGCTGTTATGCAAGGTTACTTTAGATCCTGATGTCTCCCAGTTGAATGGTTTGGATTGTGTTATTCAGTGCTTACTGTATACCCAGCAAGATATGCTGTGATAGTCAATACACATCAGATAGTACTGTTTTCAGTTTGTAGCATTAAAACACATTTGAAATACGGTGTGTTTTACAAGCCAGTATTTCATGTGGCAAACCAAGTCTCCTACCAAATGTGTATGATTAATGGGTTACTGGGTGGAAAAGTGGTTGTCTTGTAATAAATTTTGACTACATTTGTTTTTGTTATATTTCAGGGCAATAACAAGCTGTATGATTTTATTCCTTAACTAAACAGCAGGAGCTGGTTGCACTCAAGATTTCCCACTCATTTTAAACTGGGCTTAAATGTAATCAACATCGAAACATACTGTTATTTCACCATGTTTTCATATATAAATGACACAAAGTACAGTTTGTACATACACAGTTGGCTACGTTTGATCAGACAGAGCTGCGGGTTTCCTTGAAACTGTCCCTCGTAGAGCAGGTGTGTGTGTGTGTGTGTGTGTGCATGAATGAACCCATGACTGTGTGTGCACTGGGGGTTTGAAGAAACTCATTTCGTTTCCACCCAGACATGTGTTTTCACATAGTATCATTTTCTTTTCCCAGGGTGACCCTCTTTAATTAAGTGTGTGACTCCCATCAAATTCCCAGTCTGAGCATGATGAATGTATTCACGGATTTACGATGGCAGAGATGAGCCTTATTATGAACGTACAGTAAACACATTCAGGATTTAACATTGTCATGTTTGTATGCAAATGAGTTCCTTTAGTTCGCTGGGTATTTAAACAAGCTTTTTAAAGCCATTGGCCCACATTTATGATGCCATAAAAAACACAATAATGTACAAATTATAGTCACAGTGATCACAGTGGTAATGTTAACATGTGGTTTCCTAAAATACTCATCAAAATATACATTAGTGAAATTCAAAAACATTTTTTCCTAAACCATGATTTTGGTTTGAATTTGTTTATTTGCTTAAAATATATGAGTGATGATGTTTTTAAATGAGGCCCAGTAGGTCAAGGAAAGTCTCTCTGAAACTTATAAATTTCTAAATCTGTAACAAATGTGTACATGTGAGGGGTCATGTACACACATGCACAATTTAAAACAAGATTTCAACAATTCAAATGTTGCATGCTACTTTAAGTGTTACATCCAGTGTTTTTAGATCAGATGTGTCTATAGTTTTTACTCTGATTTCAATACCAGTATGGAAACCATGTGCTTCCACTGTGTTAATATCTTACTGTGAGTATGTCACCTCAAATCACGACAAACTTTTAAAAAGGTAGAGAATAAAATATTTTACATGCAAAAACACAGGTCTGTGTTTTCTTTCAGTGTTTTTCCTTGTTATTAAATGATAAGACACATGGTGTAAATGAATGTTTATTGCCTATAAATCCAACGAAAAGGCCAAAAAGGCACCATATTAGTCTGTTTCCTAATTCCTTCTAATCTCCCCAGCTTGTCTGCTCAGTGGTTCTTACTGAAGATTTTAATTATTAATGGCTCACAAGTATAATTTCAGTTTTCTGAAAGGCCTGGACATTTCCCAGAACAACTGGGCATTATAGTTTATATTAAATGTTACACAAACAGGAGTACACAGTATATATGCGGTTATAGCAGCAGATAAATACATATTAGGTGTTCTTGGAAGTATTTCTGGCAGCAGGATGCTGTAGATGACACTGAGGCACGTTACAATGTCCACATTATTGGCAACAAAGAAACATGGACATTTTTTTAATCTACAGTATATCACACTTTAGCTACAGTTTGCATTACTTGTTAGTAGAATCATGGGATTTGTTGACAACAATGGAATCTAAAAATGTTTTATTATACCAGCATATTGTACTGTAGTGGCTGTAGTAAGCCGTCATGTTGACCTTCCACATAAGAGTTACTACAGCATTTGTCCCAGATAAACAACCTGCAGGAGAACGTTCTGTGTGGCTCAGTAATAAAGAACACAATGAACGTGAACACAATGAACGTGAACATAATGATAACGGATCAGAGCCAACAAACAGATCTGAGTCACAAGCCACAAAATGTTCTTTATGCTTCACAAGCACAGCGTGGACAGAAGGCTGCCACTCATGAGTCGCTGCAGCGACACGATCACATCATTGGTATGTCTTTATCACACACTTTTGGATTTGTTTTTTGAGGATTTGTTTTTTGTACTTTTTGTTACAAAGTACTCTGTCCTCTACTTTCTTGTGTGCAAGACGGAGCCATGCAAAAACCAATCTGAAATGTAAAGTCAGAACCCACTCCGATCAGTCTGTGGTGGTTTTTCTAAATGCAAATTTAATGACTTGACATACAAAGAGTATGGCAGTGTTAATGGGTTTAAAAAGTGTGAAAACAGAAGAGGCATAGTCCATTTCATTATCTCCGTGTATTACTCAACTTACAATTGGCCTCATAATGTTTTTTCTCTCTCTTTTTTTATTTAATTTCTTTGTATCTGTTATCGAGCTGTAATTTGGTGCATACTTAAAAAAAATAGATTTTGTTTAGTGTGTTTCTTTGCTTATTTACCAAGAGTTAGATGAGAAGGTTGATATCACCCGTGTCTGTACATTAGAGCTGGCAGACTGGTGATGGCTAGTCTGGCTCTGTCCAAAGGTATCATACTTGTCCCATCTCTAAAGCTTGTTAATTGACATGTTATGTTGCTTATATGTCTTCTTCTCTTCGAACACTTCAGATTTTCTATGGACTGTACCTATGTGATTAACTTTAGAAGTGCTTGTATGTAGACTGCAGCCGAACCGGTCAATGACTATGACACTCCCAGTAAAGTGAAGTTACTGTACAAGTTGTATATTCAGCTCTGCCTCATACAAAAATATATAAACCCTAGGGTGACATCACTTTATTTTGATTGATCTTTTAAATGAGCTAATCACAAAACCAAGTCTAGAAATCAGTCTGACAATAAAGACCAGCTCTTTAGTACAGGTGGGGATTTCAACTTTGACCTTTAGCTGAATCTAACAGTATTTTCCTGTCATGTCCAGGCTGGTGCAGATAGGATATCCTCTCACGCTGGGAGGATGAATGTCATCCTGACCTTTACTGCTTCCATAGTCTCTGTGGAGCATGAGTTAGAGAAAGTGTCCTTGATAGACAGTAATAACAACAACCCATGCATTATTTTTAGCATGTCTCTGAGATGTTCTAAGATTATTGGTGCAATCCAAAAACAAAACAAACTTTAATTGAATTAATTTACAGTAAGATTTACCATTTTTATTTATGATTTTAGCCCATTATACACCCCACTCAAGGCTTTATATTCCTTAACAGTCTTATAATACACAGGATTATTACTCTGGAATATCTCATCTCTTGTCTTCAAAATCGTGCTGACATTTAGTGAAAGGTTTCAGCTTCTCTAATAGGAGGCTGTGCAGCATGAACTCTTTGACCAAGGCATTAAAATTGACTTCAGAAGCTCAGGTCTGGACAGATTTGCTCTCCATTTGGCACATTTGTGATCTGACAGCGCAGATGTCAGGATGCCTCTGCCCTCCAAGTCATTTGGAAACGTACTGCAACAGTATATTCTCCTCTCTCTCTTTGAAATAGGTCAAAGGAATTTGTTCCTTCTATAAACAATTGACAAAAGAGCTTTTGACATTTTTTAGAAAATTTCTTACAGAGGGTCTTAAGTCTTAATGTTGTCCTGAAACTGGTTTGACAGCATTATTTAGAGTTTGAGCTTAGGGTCCCTGATGGACTAGTGGCTAGGATTCAGTGCTCTTGCTGCTGCACCCTGGTTTCGATTCAGGGTTGTGTCAAGAAGGGCATCCGGCGTAAAACACCTGCCAGACTTCATCATGCGAGTCGTCAGTGTGACAATTCACTGTGGTGACCCCTCACAAGAACAGCTGAAAGTAAATCATTGAGTTTACCTGCCAGTGTAGGAAACCACTCAGATATTGATCATTTAGGTTTTATCTAACTTGATATCAGTTCATGAGACACAAACTAATAATGCAATGTTAAGCAGGTTACTCATAGTGATGAGCCATTATCATCCAACCCAGCTTTTCATTGGTTTGGTTTTATCACCCGCAGCTTTACTGTTTTGGCTCATTCTAACATCTTATCAGCATTATTTCCAGCTGCAGTTGGCAACTTCTTTTTTTGCACAATCAGCACCAGCAACTAGTTAGTACACATAATGAAGCATTTAGCCACAAAAGAGCCAGATATTTCTCTCTTGCCTTGCTATAACAGACAGCTGGAGTAAAGTACTGTGAATACTGGTACATATATTTGTTATGTGGCCAGAAATAGCTAATGAACACTAACAACTTTATTCCATGATAACATGTCAGCAATGGTTCTCTGCTGCCCTCCCAAGTGGGTAAAATGCTTTAAGAAGTTAGAGATAACTGCTGTATTATTGTTATTATCTAAACAGCTGTGTCTTGTTCATTTAGAGTCAAACTGCTATTAAAAGAAACACCATGTGTTTTAGTTTCTTTGTGTCTGTCAAATATCGGTTCATAGCTTAAGCTCCATCTGTACTGTTCAGTCTGTCTCAGCACACTTTTTTGGAAGACAAAATCCATTTTGCGTTCCGTATCAGCCATCCTCTACAAGTCGAACAGATGGTCCTTGGTCTGAAAGGTGTAGTATTAATGCCTAGGTGAACCTGCTGACTCTGTTTGAGAACAGCCATTTAATCTTTCTGTGCCTCTATTTCTGCCGCTGGCCTGAAAATTTCCTGTTACTTCCTGCTTCTGGATTATAACCATATCATTCCTCAAGACAGACGGTGGGGAGAAAAAATAAAAATGAAACAGACTTGGAAGTGAAAGCTACATAATTGATTGTGCAACAGGAATAGACCGACTCCATTTGGTAAAACCTAGAACATAAGGACATTATCCAACAGTGAGGAATGGGGTGGTGTTCATTATATTCTGAGTAGCATTGTACATTGTTAGTAACTGAATCATAGGTGAGAAAAATGACCGCACACTGAAATGAAAGCTTACATGTGACAGATAGATATATACGGCCAACGTTTAGACCCACCAGTCTTCGTTAAAAGCAAGTAAGGTCAATTACTTGTGGCAAGCAAACATAAGTTCACATCTCACACCTGAGAGCAATCTACAGTCAATGACACCTACACAGCATGTTTCCAAAGAGCGAAGTTACGATGGCTCAACACACTGCGGCTTAAGAAAACACATGCAAATAGACAAAACACAGGAATTTTTTTTTTACCAGTCTGACAACATTTGCACAGTATTTACCAAAAATGCTGCAAATACAGAAACATGATGTGAAGACACACACCATGACAACAGCATGCGCAGTACCTGTGTCTTTCCACCCATTGTTAATGATATTAATTACATCTGTGTTTTCCTGTGATGGCATGTCAAGGCCCATTGTGCTTATATCACTGACAAAGTGTACACACCTGATTTCAGTAATATGCAGCTTGCTCCTTAAATCCTGGGATGATTAGAGATATCCTGATCTTTTTTCCAATCATGGTACAATTAAATACATTTAACACCTACATATAACTGGGTTTTGTGTGCTGAAAAATAGAAATGAGACACTGTGGGTATCCTTATACTACAAGGGCAGCTATTCCCAAAGGATTCAGGTGCATTCATGCACAAGAGAAACCAATCACTGAGGCCAAATGAGGGAAGCAGCTTCATGCACGGCCAAACTCCTGTAACTTGGTTTGGCGGACAGAAAGCGTTGGCCTCCTGGGAAATTAAAGAAAACTGCAGGAAGCAAAACACTATCAATATACAGTACATCTAATAAACCAGCACACAACATTTTAAATGGTGTACATTAAACAAAATCAGTGCATGCTGGTTTTGCCAAAGTTCTGGATCTTTGCAGTTAGAGATTGAAGATAAAGAGTAGAAGGATGTATCAGTAAAGTGAATAGTTTGGCGAGATGCAAAATCTGACATCACGGCAAAGGCACAATATTCAAGATAACAAGTGGAGGGGGGTTAAATAATAGCTGCCAATTCCTCCCATCACATTAGCTCAACACCCAGGAGAGAGGTGTGCGATAAGTAAGGGAAAAACAGAGAAGGAAGTCTCAAAGGAAATCTCACACATGGCTTGACACAAGATGAAGGTTCTAACTCTGTAAACAGGAACTAGTGTCTTGTCACAGTAAAACACAAGAGGGAAGTGAACAGCAAGAAAGAAGGCACAGAAGGCAAAACATAACATTTCAGCTTTCAGAAGTTTGGACTACATGGTCACAAGTCTCAAAGAGAAAAATGCATGTGATTATATAACCACACGTATGAGAGGCTCAGCAGGAGCATGTTTGTGTACCCCAAAAATGCGTCAGTGTGGTGCAGAGGTAACATGACTGAGAAGGAAATGTGCACTTTTAGGTAGAAGACATTTCTGATCAACTATACTGTAATATTTTATATCTGGAACACTGTATAAAGCGTGCCCTTATCCTACTCACTCTCCGTCATTGTTTGCTTATACCTCTGGTAACCCTGCCAGCAAAATACATATTACTGTGCAGCTGGAAGGCCAAAAATGGTCCTTCTCATTTTTGATGGATTATAGAGATTCTTTATTTTCTTAAGTTGGAAAAAAATTGGATTTTATTTGAAGGATTCAGCCGAAAGGTTCCTGAGGCTATGACTCCTTTTCTTGGATTATGTAAAAAAGGTTCATTTTTTCACCCAACAAAGTGTTTGTTCTACAGTACTACCATAATCTATTCTTTCTACTTCCATATATAAATTTCAGATGCTACCTGCTTGCGTGGCACACTACTGACCCTTTTTTATTTTTATTCTGTTTCTCTTGTTTTCTTTTATTCTCCCTGCACACCATCCTTACTGCAATATTACACTGTGCTGTGTGTATTGCTATTTTATTTCATGTTTCCTGTTCTTAGTTTCATAGTTACTGCATACCAATTGTGACAACCCCTGTGTACATGCCCACTGTGAAACCTAAAAACTGAATAAATGAAAGTAGGGAAAAGGAAATGTGCAGTTTTAGGATCTAAATTCTGCATCAGTTGAAAAACAAAACCCTTAAAAATGTTGTAGAAATTGACGTTGGTGCCGTACTGTTAAAGAACAAAAATCTTAAGCAATAAAATCACCGCAGGTCAACAGACTAGCTAATCATTTATTGAATCAGCCCACACAGAAACAGATGCTCACTCAGAGCTCTCAAACATAAGTGACAAAGCAAAGCACCCACCAAACACAAAGTAGACTGAACACAGGAGCCACCGATAATTAATCAACACAGGTGTAAACACTGAGTCTGATTAACCTCAAGACTCAGTAGAGAAAGCTCAGCCAG